TAGTATATATTATAGAGTTTACTGTGAAAACACGATGGGAAACGAAACAGCATTCGATAGCTGCATAAATAATGTAAATATTAATCTAGGAATATAATTAATTAAATAAGTTCAAATTAAATGGAAGCTGGTAATATAAGAAGTAATAATAAAATAGCACGCTTCTAATACCAGGCGCATTTAATACGTCTAAAAATTACTTGCCGTGTCTAACGTGAATTAATTGGATAATTTATCAAAGCGATATATCTCGTTGCGTTGCGTTTAAATTAATCATTTCTAAGAACTATAATACAAATTTTCTGTTCTGCGTAAAATTTACAACTCCGTATTTTCTCCGTGGTAAATATATATGAAAACGCGGCCTCGTATTTGCCTCTCTCTACTCCAAGTAAAATGAATTATTAATCACCTTCCGTTGATTCAATCTTTCGGGAATCTGAAAAATGTCAGAACGCTTTCGGTAACGTGGACAGCAAACGGATCCGCTGATACTCGAAGCATTGGTTCTACAATTCCGTGTTGCACTTCGGCGAGTTTTCAGCCGGGGCTCTCCGTCGCGTCGTCGACGTCTCCGCGACCGTCGGATGCCGCGATCTCGGCAGTCGCGTCCGTGCGCTTGGCGGCGACGCGTCGCGTTACGTCCCCGTGAGGTCAGGTCGTCGCAACACCGCGAGCCACGTTCGTTTCCGGATGGAGAAAAGGCGGAGGAGGAGAGAGGAGGAAAGAAATCATCAGATCCTGATACGCGCGGCCGTGAAATGCGCGGAGAGCGTGGACTACGCTTCGCCTGAACGATGGCGAGTTCGATACGTACGGTCGATGCGTTTAGAAAGTTCACGATGGCATGCGTCGTACCCCTTTCGGATCTCTCGTCCTTTTTTCCGCCTCTCTCGTTCTTCTTCCAACGTAAAAGAGAAAACATCTTTTTTCACTCGCTATGATCCGTCAAATGGTCGGTGATAGCGACCCGCAAGACGCGATGCGGCGTAATTAAAAGTGTCACGAATATTGCGGGAGGAGGACGTGATGATTTCGTGAGGAAACGTCCGTAATGTGTATTTTTTTAAACAGACTAATTAATGGGAACTTGAAAATTATTGGCGAAAATAAAAATGAAATATGTATATATATATATATTTTTTTTTAATCTGTAAAAATATATAGAAGATTTAATATTACATTTTTAAGTCTGTAAAAATTAGAGAGAAATTTTCGCGAGCGTTTTTATGTCAAAATTAATTCCATTTTCTGAATATCCTGGAAAAGAGTGAAATTATTACCTTTGAGAAAGTTGGAAATTAAGTAGATCATTATTACGTAATAAAAAAGGGTAGGACAAAGAAAGAAAACGAGAACAATACAAACTGGAGATTAAGTAGATCGATCCGTGTACCTTCTATCTGAAAATTCTCGTGAATTTTTTTAGAAAATATCAGAAGCTTTTTGGAAGCTCGTACGTTCCCATAGGACGAGGAAATAAGGTGGTCCTTTATTTACTGATCCTTCGGGATTCTCACCGACGAATTCTTTCTGTCAGAATCGAGACTGTAGTAGCTGAATTTAAATTTGTGCAGGTGCTTCTGGGATTTTTTCTTTTACCCCCGCGGAATAAAGAAGCCTTAGTGTTTTTGAAATAAATCATCAAATTTGGCATTATTTTATTTATTTCTTAAAAATATTATATATATTTATAAAGTATATAAACAATACGTAAATTTTATATAAATATATAAATTATGAAACACATAAAATGAGATGTAATTTCGAGTCGGAAGGGAAAATCGCAACCTATATTTACTTGCACTTATCGCTACACTCCTGAGTTATACGATTTAAATTTTGGACCGACCGACGTGACCTCATCCGGGTCACGATCAAGGACGCACATGTCACGGCTCCGTCGAGTCGGTCGAAATCGTTGGCAGCTATTTGGCTCGATTTCGTTCACTTTGCGTCGCATCGATGCTCGAATTTCCGCTCGGACAGCTAACCGGGTTGATAAGTTTCCAGTGCGCACTGTTATTTCTTGTTACTGTCAGGAAATTGCAGCGTTGTCATAATTGTAAATTATTAATAAAAAAAAAAAAGGTAATCTTATGCTGAGACACACATTCTCTATTGTTTTAATCTACGTGAATTATTCGTCTATTATAAAATCATTTTACGTTATACACACGGGCCTTTACATTGCTCCAATTTTTATCCTTTAAGATATTTTTCAAGCGACTTTTCTTTGAAAAGCATAAGAAAAACGGCGATCGCACGTTTTAATGTTAAAAAAAAAAAAAGAAAAAACGCAAGTCTCTCTCGACTTTTGCTGTTGTGTGCTATTAGAGTTTCGTCTAACACAAAGTTCACGTTTTACCTTTGTACCGATAACTCGCGGCAGGAAATAACGCGTTTGCGAAAAACAATATGTGGACTTTTGTGTGTGAATAAAACAAGCGTTCGCGAAAAAGAAAAAAAACGCGAGGGCAAATTATAAAACGATCGTCTACCAGAATGAAATATACGCGAGCGTGTATTTGCACTACGTTCTTCAATTTACATCGTAATAACGATTTTGCGTTATACTATAAATAAAATTTATTATATTTATGTTACATTTGAATTTATATTGTACTTTACTTTTGCACCACGTTATATTTTATATCGTAAAGTAAATTAGAATTCTCTACATCCAACACTCATTAGCGTCGAGAAAAATCGCGATACCGAACTTTGTAGCACGATAGGCTACGAGTTTTGTACGTTTTGCGGAATATTGCGAAGCGTAATTCCACATGCGCGAAAAGTTAGTTAAGGCACGAACCCGCTCGACCCTCGCTCGTCACGAGACGGTCATCGATTCTATTTCGGCCGACCGGAATCACTAATCCCTCGGCTCCCGGCTATATTTTTCCTCGTGGCATCACGGACGCACGTGTACGCGATAACCCAGTTCCCGAAAGACACCGAAGCGACAAAATTCGCGCCGATAGCTCGAGAAATGAGAAACTTGGCGTTTTGCCGAAATTTTTCAGGATTTTTTGGCGGATCGCCGCGAGGGTGCGACAGTACGGAGTACGTAGATGAGAGAGAACGTGAAGAAGTGAGGTAGTAGACGGAGAAATGCAATTTATTTGATACTTCAAAATGTAGATTCCCCCCGGGAGTGTAATAATTATATATTGACTCCTATTTGCTGCATTGCATTGATCAAAATGGAACTTTGGGACTATCAGTACATTCATCCGCACAGTATAGCTATGACGTGGTATATCTGCTTGAATTGTTACTCAACTTCTCCGACGTAACGATCGAGCAAAAGAGAACGCTCGAATTTTGCTTCAGATTCGACGAATCGTGAATAATCTTTCGCGACTATCGGTAAACGAGATCGATTGTCTTCCAAGGAGCGTCTTCCGCAACTTCAATCGTCTTCCCCCCGCGAGTTATTTTCTTCTCGGGCCGATTAGATCGAGCGCCATCGTCATCAGTACTACTAACAAATCGTCAGACCTGGTAAGACGACGAAACATGGCGAACTAGAACTCGAGATTAGTTCAGCCAAGCTGTTTTTAATTTCAAGGAATTAATCGAGAAAAAAATCAACGGAAGGAATTACGCATTATAGATCCTTGGGAGAATTAAAAATTACTAGGACAGTCCGAATCTAAAAGAGCCGAAAGCATTTGAGAGGCGTGAGAATTAAATGAGAAATAATTACTCAACAGTCTCTTAGAGGGTTTCATGATTTTTTTTTATATAAAATATCACAGCTAGGAAAATCACTACAAATCAAGATCTGCGACGAGTGTCAAGTGATTGCTGACTGTTGATCGTTTTTTCAGCACGGAATGAACAAATATTACTAGGAAAATTGCCAGGATTTGTAAGAGCTGAATAACACGTTTAAAGTATATAAGTATTAAGAACGGTTGGAGAAGAAGAAGAAGAAGAAGAAGAAGAAGAAAAAAAGAAGAAAAAACACGCAATAGAGAAGAGACTTTATTAGAAAAATTAATAAGATATTGGTTAGAAAAGAAATGACTAAAGTTTAATTATATATAGACGTGAGAGAGACAGATCCGACCGATTCTCCGAGCCTGACGTTAACGGAGCAGGTGTATCGAAGGCCAGAATAAGGAGATTCTCCGGAGTATTCTCTCGACACGAAACGCATTCCGTCCTTGGTAACTTGAAAGAGAGAAATTACCTAACGCGCCAGAGATTCTCGCATTTCGTTTTCGCGATCTTTCCTCGATATACCGCGTAGATCGCTCAATCCGATCGATCTCAAGAGAGAAAGAGAGAGGGATCTCGGAGGGAGCACGTTCTGGCACGTGCTGTTAATCGTTCGATGAGAAACGAACAAGATTTGGTGCCTACCCAGCGTGCGTGAGCGGATCCTCGGGCACGAGGGCGGTGCGCCGAGGAGGTCGTCCTCGACGACGACGATCGCGACGACGGCAAAGACGGCAAAGACGACAGCGACGACAGCATCGATGCTACGCTCGCCGGCGCGCGGCGCCATCACCGTCCTGCGGGAGCCCTCCGCTTCTGCATCGGTTTCCGCCGCGGCTGCGGCGGCCGCGGTGGCGTCCTCGGCCACCACCGTCTCGGCACCGCCGACGCCGGTGCACCACGGCGGCGCCGGTACCGGCGCCGGCAGCTCGAGCAGCGCCTCCTCCTCGCGCCTCTCCTTGCTCGACACCTGCCACAGGAAGATCAGGCTCTTCGGCGAGCTAGTTGCGTGAGTTTCCTATCCCTTCCGCCTCTAGACTTCCGCCGGTTTCCCTTTTTTTCCTCCCGCAACCCGCAAACGATATCGATATCGTATAGATATGTGCATATGTGCGTGCCGTAACGTGGAATTAGCCCGGTGGGTTGAATCAAAGCGCATCTCTTCTCTATGCGATATACCTATACATGTACTGTGGGATATATTGGGAAGAATCGAAGTGTCCGTAATAAATTGTCGTGAACTATGCCTGATGAAGGGCATCGATATAGCGTCATAGACGTTAGAGTATTATTGTACTGAGATGACTGTGTTGTACGCGATTAGAGACATACGTCATGGACGATGATGAATTTGTATATCTGGACTGACTTACGTCAGCGTTTTTCTTTCTATGCGGAGATGCAGCTTCTTTCCAGGAGCATGTCTGCTTTCTAGAGAGAGATTTGCGCGCGCTTTGGATCGTGTAGACGTGGCTGAACATCGCTGCTATCGTTATTGCATGTAATTGCATTTTTCACTGGCAGGAAGCTGAATGTGCGACGCGGCTGCTGCGTACTGAGCAAGCTCGAGCCGAAAATCAGTTGTTATGTTTAGTCCTCACGTGCAAACAAGGACACTCTGTGTTAGTTGCGTGCGATAATTAGAACTATCGTTTATTTTCCTGATATTTATTATTACATTGGTGCAATACACATTTGTCGTCCTTTTATTTTTAAAGTAAAACAACGTTCCCCTATCTGAGTTTTTCGAAAAAGCGTTTTTGAACATTTATTTTCTAGAAGAAGCAATAATGCCTATTTTTTAGTTAATGGAAATATGCTACGAAATTGTATAATTTTGTTTTTAACTTTATTTGACAAGTAATCATCAAATCTTTTGCACCAGCGTAGTAATAGATTTATTATCTCGTAATTTTCCATATGTATATGTATATATATTAATAATTATTTTTTTTTTTTTTTATTTTATTTTGTAAAGATTTTTTTTTGTATTAAATATACAGGATGTCTCTTGAATATATAATAGTTCCGATAATAAATTATTTGAAGTAATCTTTCCTTTTGCGAAAATTTAATTAATCAATGTCTCAACTTTTAATCTTCTGACTTCATTATTAATGATATTCAGAAGACTCAATAACCAGTATACTTAATTAATTTTATCTGAAAATCTTTGCTATTTTAAAGGAAAAAAAAAATATTTTTGTAAAAAGATTTGATTAAATTCTTATATACAATGGAACATTCTATATATTTATTAATATGTAAAATATAGCGCTTTATATTATAATATTATCGCTATTTACTGGCAAAAGTGAGGTGAAATTTCTATTTTGCATACAATAATAGCGCATTGCAACAATCGATTTTTATAATTATTTTCGATTTTTCAAAGAGCCGCATTATTTTGTGACTTTCTATTAAAAGATTTCTAATTAAGCGAATGTTAGAAACGTTCTCTTATTTATACAAATGAGTTCGATTCGTTCTTGAGGGCGTGATGTGAGAAACACAACGTTCGGCTTCGCTGATAAATTGAAGACAAATTGAATAGACTCGGGAAGCGTCGAGGGTAATCGTGCAAATCCGATAATTCGCCGATTTGATTAATGAATTCGCGTCAGTCGATTAAAGACAAAACGCTCTGTCCAATCTGTTCCTCTCTCGGTCAATCTGGGGACCACAAATTAGCGTGCCTGTGAAACGACAATAATGATGCGTTGTAAAAATGTTCTGTTGATTTTCCCGGAGACTTGCTTTAAACGACACGACGTATTCGATATATCATCTATAACATTTATTCTTTATATTTTAGGATTGGCACATTTTCGTTATTTTAATCTTAAGTCATTTTCTCTGTATAATTATCAATTCTATAATAAAAAAAAACCGATTCTCTCTCTCTCTCTCTCTCTCTCTCTCGTCCCTTTTGCAAGTATTCTATTATCTATGTGTATAAGCTGTTCAAAATCAAATTTAGTTAATTATGGACTCTTCGATTTTTATAATAATAAAATTCTATAAATAAAAATCGATGTCCTCCAATTTGGTTTCGGACAGCGTGCCCATTAATCTCATTTACACACAGGCTGTGATGTGTTACATGTATATATTTACGCCTCTTACACGCGACACCCGTGGTTCTGCTTGATTGGCTTGAGCGTACTGAGAGAACTTGCCGAGGTACGTCTGGCTGACCGTACGACTGCTTTCTCGTTTTGCAGAAAGGCCAGACGAAAGGAGAAGGATGCGGGAACCACGGAGGATCCGAAATTGTACCTGGAGGAGGCTGCTCTCGAAAGGCAGCTACCGGAGCTGGACCTGAGGATGCTCGTGGACCTACCGCCCGGCCTGGACTACAACGAATGGCTGGCGTCGCACACCCTCGCATTGTTCGACCATATTAATCTCGTCTATGGCACAATATCCGAGTTTTGCACCATGACGGGCTGTCCCGACATGACCGGTCCCGGCTTAAGGTACGTATTCTCCTTGCCCGAGGCGTTTCAACCACTCCATAGAAGTTACGACGGATCGATAGCAATCGATCGTTTTGTGAGAAATGATTTATCGTTCCAGAACGTATCTATGGTTCGACGAAAAGGGAAAGAAAACGAGGGTTGCGGCGCCACAATACATAGACTATGTTATGACATTTACGCAACGCACCGTTAGCGACGAAACTATATTCCCTACAAAATATGGTAAGTCGTTCCCTTTAACGCCCATGTATTTAATTCGTAATGTTCTGGAGTATATATTTCAATATAGTTAATTAATAAACCTTTACACCTTCGTTTTAATAATTATTGACTTTATTCGTAGTTAACGCTACATAATCGTAATTCAATCAATGTTTGCGACGATGTTAATTTCCACTGTTTTTCAGCAAACGAGTTCCCGAGCTCGTTCGAGTCGATAGTGCGTAAGATCCTGCGGCTACTGTACCACGTAGTGGCACACATCTACCACTGCCACTTCAGGGAGGTGGCGCTTTTGGGGTTGCACGCTCACCTCAATTGTGTATTCGCCCACCTCACGCTCCTTAATCAACGCTTCAACCTTATAGACCCCAAGGAGACGGAGATCCTGGGGGACTTAGAGGCCGCCCTCTTGGGTAAGTTTTATACGCTGTCACCGCGACCATCGTTGCGACCGTTGTTACCACCGATGCGGTATTGATCGATGCCGATTATGCAATGCCGGCAAGAGATCCGAGACTGGATTGCGCGTTTTGAACAGTGGACTTTTTTTTTTCTTGACGATCAATAAGTCGTGTCTCAGGGAACGTTACTATAGCTCTTCTTGTTACTATAATTTTTCATCGAGACAAGCACGATTGAGTTAAATCGAGGCTTAGATTAAGCTAGAGAGTATTTATAAAAGGAATAGAAGCTATGTATATGGGAGTGCTTTTGAGATTTCTGCGGTATTCGTTATCGACAACGGTAGAGTTCGACGTCGATACACAAACTTGCAGAGAGAAGACTCCCTTGTTAGTTACGGATCAATTGCGCGATTAAGGGACGGACCCAATTACGGCGCATTAAGTGTATGTTTGGTCGACTACGTTATATGACCCGGAGAGATACATGCTCGATTCTGTGCTATTGATCCCTCCTTTCGTTGTTTGCTTGCAGGTGACTCGACATCCGCGCCTTCGCAGACCTTAGCCATCCAGGAGACTCCGACCACTACGAACACTAGCAGTACCACCTAGATCGCTGCGATGCGTTATAGCGAACGAGCAGAGGTTGCAGTTCCTGAGACTAGGTGACGATAGATGACGATACGTTCGTTCATTCGATTTCTTTTTTGTCTCCTTTTTTTCTTTTTGTAGATTACATGCGAAAAATAACGTATTTGCGATATGATCGGCTGGTAAGAATGAAAAAAAAGTACGAAAGAGTGAGAGAAAGAGAATGAAAGAGTGCGAGAGAGAATGAGAGAGAAAGCAGTGATTCTGTAAAAACAAGAAAAAATATACCAGTAGTACCTGTACATAGCAAAGTGTGAACAACTATATGATGTAATTAGGTTCCTCTGTTTGTTGTTTGTGAGATTGTACATAATTTATTAAATGGTAAGATACATGAGGAAGGAAAAGAGAGAGAAAGAACGAAAGAAAGAAGATGAAAGAGAGCGAGAGCGAAGAATGCGCAAGAGTGACAAAGAACGAACATTGATTATTATTGACAAAGCTAGTTGCTATAAGAGATAATTTGTTCTGTAAAAAATGATACAATAATATTGTAAAGTTAAAATAATACCAAATATATACCTGGTGTTAAGGCATGTGTTGTTGGTCATGAATTGAAAGTGCGTCACACAGAAATGCAAATTTCCCTCGGAAGTGAGTCTGTGATCTCAGATTCACGAAAATCCATCGAGTCTTTAGTTAAGTTACTAAAACTCAATCTTTAAGAGTCTCCAATTTTCGCTTGTGAGAGCTCAAGTGCTAGCGGTGGTCGGCGCGTGAACGTGCTTCACCTCCACGATCCTGATTGCAGCGCAGACATTTGCGATCTCCCTCAGGAATAAACCCATCGCCTCGGCTATCGGTTCGCAGAGATCCCTCAATGACGTCGCAATATTGTAGAGCAGGATCAATATCGGTTGCACGAGAGCGTTGAACAGAATAGACAGCAATGGTTTTATTAAGTAATCCGCTATTAATTGAAGTATTCCCACTGTCAACGGCCGGATCACGCTGTAGAGCACGAAGCGTAGAAGCTGCAGAATAAAGGCTGTGACGAAGGCGATACCGATGTGAATTGTACCGAAGATTTCCGCCCAAAAACGAGTTGCCGCCTGATCGGTTTTTTCGGCACATTTATCCGTGATTAGTACAGGATGGCAATCGGTTGTTCGATAATATCTGCGAGAAGTATTATATCTGAGTGATTGATTACATCGTTTCTTTGATCTTTTAGCTATAATGAATTCAAAAATTTAAATTAATCTAAATATTAAGACGAATTTGTTGCGAAAGAGCGCAAATTGAAACAAATTGGAGAACATCCTTTATGTTCTTCAAGAAATATTATTGTCATCTCGTCGAATGGTTAATACCTACGCGGAATTTCCGTGATCAAAATAATAGATCTCGATCTTTTCCGCTATTTCTTCTCTCTTGAGTTTCGTTTTCGTTGGAGGTGGTTTCGGTTTGACAGGCTCGTGCTTGGCATTCTTACTCGATATTCCGTCCGATAGTTCTTTGTGGGAGATACAAGGTTGAAATTCGTGAGGTGGCTGTAGCACGATGTGCTGTTTTGGCGCGCCGTTTACACGCTTGGCATAATGGGGACACTGTACTTGCTTTAGCTTTATCTCATACATCTTATCTTTTTTGCCGTTTCTCGACCGTTTCCAGCGGTTCCAGAACGGACGCGATTGCGGTTTATCTGAAAAATGTAACTATCATTACTATTTTCGGTGCATCTTGACGGCGTCTCTATGTACCTTCCCTGAGTTTCACGGGCAGAACATAGCCATTGCTGGAACGATAAATCTGCTTTAAGAAATAGATCGACTAACAAAATAAGATACATAGGTACGACGGGCGGATGTTACATTTTATGGCTATGATAAAGGCATGGGAAACTCGATTGCGTTGCAGGTGGCTGGCTCCTCGATTTTTTTCGAAGCGACTGTCGATCCGGTCTTCCTGGAACCGTGGACGGGATATCGGCTGGCGCAGCTATGCAGTAAGTTTCAACTAGCGATGCATCAGAACACTTGCAATCCGTTTCTGCATACAAAATATATATAGAATGATTTAATAAAAATAAAAATAAATAAAACAGACTTATATATAGCGCAAGATGTATTGAAACAATATACTAATTTAGACTTGTCCAAGGTATTAATAGATTCTCCTCTATGCATTGACATTTTTGATAAAAAACATTGACTGTTCAATTAAAGAATCTGCTGTCAAAAAAATATTTGGTGTAATTTTAGGATGCTTTGTATAATACATATAGTTTGCTTTCATAGAATGTTTGAAGAATATATGGCAATATGCCTTTGGGGTTTTCAACAGTGTCAGTTCTCTTATCGACCGTTTCGGTGCAGACCGCATTTACGTCGGAATTTATGGCCGAGGTAGCGTCATCCGAACGCAAGGACGTTAAATTGGAAGGTTCCGTCGTGTCAGCGCAGGAACAATCCTCTCCGGTAACCATGTTAAACGCATTCCCTTACGATCAAACACATAAAAACTTAAAATAACATCAACGTCAAATATAACGTAAACCAAACTGCAACATAAACTTGGAACAAAAACGATAACAAAAGCGACCTGCAGTCATATATACCATGGTGTAAGAAAAACCATCGTATTTTATTATATCATAAATTATGATACATTCAAACTTTTATTCTCGATTATATTCTCGATATGGAAATTTGTACGTAAATGTTACAGACGTATTAGAGTCATGATAATTAATATTAAAAATTAATATATAAAGAAGATCAAATCCAATAAAATTTTCTAAAGAAAACTCTACTGTAGATTAATGAAAACATTCACGATGAAAAAAATAACAATGTTTATACGCGTAATTGTTTTCCTATAAAAATACATACAAAGAAATAAATAATTACAGCAAACAATTTTGTCACGATTGAAAATCGATTGTAGAACGTTATTCTGAGAACTGCTTGCAATCAAAAAAGTTTTTTTTATCTGTCATAGTTGCGGGAAAAATGGAAAAAAAAAAGGAAAATGTATAAAGCACGACGATTTAATTTTGCAAGAAAAAAGCAGAACACACATGTATACAACTTTGCTTCAAATTGAGTTTTTATCGAGTGAAGTATAATATTAGACATGTTAAATTTTTATTTACATGACAGACTTGGAAGCAAAATAGGACGATTATCACTTAAAAAGATAATAGGGACGCACCATTATCATGTATATATTATGTTATAATTCATCAAAAATTTAACAGCAAACATTCAAACATTCAATGTATGCATGTTACATATATTTTTCATATTACCTCGCAAATCACAGTAACGATAAAGGTGTCGCATGAATTATAACTTTATATCTATGAATTCATCTGTTCTTTCCTTTTTTTATAAGATAAGATATATTTCGTATAATCTTAAAATTACTTTTATGGAGCTTAAAAAATGTAGCGATGTAAGAAACGTGCGTGTGTTAATAACATTCATTATGACGCTGCATGTATATTTTTCGGTTGTAAAAACGTATTATTTGTATGTCATATCATTTCGGTTGCTTAACGACGCATTGATACTCATGATTTGCGAGGATGGAAATCGGTATAATTTATACGAAAATCTGAACATTATTGCGTTTCATTTATAATGTAAATAAACGTGAAAATTGTTATGCGTCCATGTTATTCATCTTGTGTGAAATTCAGTCAAATTATATCGATTTCGATCCTGATCTGCAAATATTACACAATACATTAGAAGATTAATACAGCTTATTTCGATGGTTAGAGCTTCCGTGTAGGAAGTAATCACAACACAGCACAGTTAACAAAATATATCAATGCTATTGTTTGCTACTAATCTCAGTTAGACTAGATTGAGAAATAAAAGTAATTAATGTAACAATCGAATCGTCCGACGCGAAATAACCTTTTAACAAACATAATTGTCTGACAAATAATATTATAATACAATTAGTTATGTCTTCTATGTATATTGATATATTTATAATATACACGTATTTTTTGCTAACACATTGACATGGAGTACTCGTTTTGCAGTAATCGTGCGATTGCTATGTCAAGTATACTCATATTAAAACTATCTGTGTTTTTCAACATTTTGTACACGAATGTTTCTCATCGTTCTGTACAAGAAGTTATCAAGGATGAAAAGTATTAATTAATACAACCGTTAAAAATCGGAGACAGTTAAACTTATACCAATGATCTTAAAGACTTGCTTGAATCATATAAAGTCCTTATGTTAGAGTCAATACTAAAATAAAGTAAAATACTTATTTATAGACATGTTAAAATAAATAACATTTACATACAAATAAATCATTACTGAATTTTTTATAATTGAAAAAAATTTCGTCGATTTAAACACACCATGTACGATATTTCCTTTAGCATATTCTTACGCGTATTTAAGATAATTACATATACGCATATACTAAATACCTATTAATTGTAAATCAAAACTGTGCAAATAACCTTAATACTAACTCGATTTATTTATATGTATATGCATTTATCGAAATCAAGAGTCATCACATTAAAATTATTTTCCTAAAAAATAAGAATACTTTACATTTAGAAAAACGTAAAACATACTTCTCTAAACTTAGAACAATCTATTTTACGCTACACTTACGCAATTTTCATTTCCATGAGCACATTTAAAAATAATACAATATATTTTTTCTTTATCAATCAACTTATCGGAATCGAAAGATTTGACGAGATATTCTACAAATTGACATTTCCTACATCCTTCCTCATTCTTATAAAATGCTACCGTTAATTGGAATGTACAAGCAATAATTCTCTTTTTTTTTTCTCTGCAATATAATTTGTACATATAATTTGGAAGAATTATCAGTTAAATAGTAAATTACAATAGACACACACAGAGAACTCTCTGTTATATTTAGTCGATTTAAATCATTTCTTTGATGCATAACGATGCTCTAGACTTATTCTTTGTTTAACATATGAAAAGCGACTTTGTGATCTAAATGTTTTTGACAAGATATGCTTCATATATGTTATAACACAGTTCTTAAATAAATTATTGATTTGTAATCGCAAATATCGCATTATTATAAATATTACATTTTAGTCGCAACAGTAACCAATACAAATAGTAGTATGATCTCAACAAAAATTTGCGATGTCGAGTACACATAAATGCATTTCAAGAAGCATAACATGGCACTTAATTCAGGTAGAGTCTCTTACAAATACGAACAATATAGACTAAACAGTATAAATAGCTATAGTTCTTTTTGGCTATAATAATTCTACCACACAGCATTTGATTTTCTTATGCGTTCTAATTTATAGCAATGTCACATAGGCCCCACATCTTTATTATTTATTTTAATTTTACACTTTTATATGGAATTTTAAACATTATTTGCATATTTATTTCTTGTCTCTCAATGAATTTTATCATTATGTATATTTATCAATTTTTTCAATTACCAATTATAGAATTCATCGAGAATAAATGCATATAAATATTCTTTGAATATTTTCATCAATGAGAAATATATAGACTTCCTGAATTATTCTGTTGATAATAAAGTA